TTGCATGCGAGGATAAATAAGGTGCAGGGGCTGGCAGGTTCGGCGTAGACTTGGGGCACAGGGGTGGGCCGGATTGCACACCTTCAGACACGCTGCTCAACCAGATGCTTAGGACATCGACACAAAGTGACTACTCAAGAGGGATACAGGGGGAGGGTTGGATTCCGGTACTGTTCGCTGAGGCATTAATCAGATAAACTGCCATCCAACATACATCTCTGCAGGAAATATTATTTCTATTTTTGATTATTTAGTTGTTACAAACTTGACTGACAACTAACAGACAGCTGCAGATAGATAGTAATCCTTGCTGCATGCAATTTGTTTCAGAGTAATCTAAAAATAGATTTAGTACTCCCTGTAGGACCTGACATTGATTGCTGGTTACCACTTGACTACGACTTCTTAGGCTTACCGAATTTAGAGTCAAACATTAATTGGTTGTGTGTCCTGTTGAGGTAGGATCCAGTGTGGGTTCTAGTTTAGACTACACACACTGTAGCTCATGAGTGAAGCCGTCAATAGTGAGGAGGAGGAAGAACTAGTCGAAGACCTTAGGGTAACTCGTAGAACCGCTGTCAGTTGTCCACTCACCTTCCAGGAGCTAGGTCCGGGAGACGAAAGGAGACTGCGAAGGGAAGCCAGGGCAAGGGAGATATTGCGGAGAGCAAGAGCAGCTGCAGCTAGTGCTAGGGCTAGGACCGAGGTCAGCACAGGCACAGCTATGGCTACTTCTTCCACAGTGTCCCAGGCCGTGTCCCAGGCCTCTTCGTCAGGAACGAGTCAAGGTACCCAAGGCATGGTTAGTCAATCCGTTGGCTTGCAAGTCAGCCAGCAACCTCAACTCTCAGAAGAGGAGGATTATGAGATCCTCCAGGCAGAAGAACTGCATAATGAGTTGCAGAAGCAACTGAGAGAGGCAGCGGAGAGAAGGAAAAGGGCTATACTTAGAAAAGCTAGACTCGGGAGTAGGAGACAGGAGCTAAGCAAATTAGAAGCATTAGATGAGTCAACACTTGATCCTGCTATGCAAGCCCTGCGTAACTCGCTGCTCTACGTAGCGGAAACGTAGGTTGTTCAGAAGGAAGTGTTGGCTGAACTAGTGGCAGGCCAGAGACAGAGTCTGGCAGCACTGCAGGCTCCTCGTCCTATGATGAGACAGCCTCAATATGTTGTTGCTCCCCTTTCGGTCGCGGGTCCCTCAGTGATGTCGTCGCCTGTAGGGCCCTCCTTCTCACCTATGTATGGCATTCCACTTTCAAGTAGTCAACTAGTAGTTAGCGGTCCGGTTCTTATCTCTTCTTATGTACTATCGAGGACGGTGACAGCTACAGTGCCATTGTCTGGACAGGTTAGCACGCAGCAACCCGTGTCAATGGCTATGCAGCCACTGCAGCAATCGCCTGGGCAGATCCAACCTATGCAGTGGATGCCCAAGATACCCTTGCTGAGTCCTAAGCCCTTCTTTGGGGACAGGAAGAAGGATGAGGACTTGGATACCTGGGTAAGGACTGTGCCTACCTATGTGAGGCACAAGCTCACCAGGCCAGAGCAGGAAGTCATAATTGCTGCTTCCTTTTTAGAGGGATCGGCAACGCGTTGGTTGAATGGGTTAGTGCAGCAACAGGGCTACGGTCAGAATTTCGATGCCTCGGCCCAAGCCCAGACATTGGAAGACTTCGTACGGTTTGTGTATAATAGGTGGCATGACCCTCAAGGGGCTCAAAAGGCCACCGACGCGATCAACAATCTTTGGGCCAAAAGGTACAAGAATGTTTGTGAGATCACAGATACCGTAGAACGTCTGCTCGTGGTACCTGGTGTGCGCTACGACCAGCAGGTACTCCTCACGGATTACTTGAGATGTCTGCCTTCAGAGGTTAGGACTAAGCTGGTGGATGGGGCCAACGTCGACCAACACAACTTCGCTTCTTTCAGCAAGAAGGCCTTAGATATAAAGGCAAAGCTTGGGTCCGCGCATCAGAGTCAGGGAGAGATGGTAGGAGAAAGAAACTTCCCCAAGACTGGAAGAAGAAGGGTCAACTAATTTTCGTCGATCATGATGGTTAAACGACATAAATTGACGACTTCTCAGACCTTGGGGATGAGACAGAGCATGATGGGGCCAATGAGACTTCCGATGGGGGAGTCATGGCCCCTATCAAAGAAAAGGCTAGGGGGACTGGGAAGAAGAAGGTAGGCCGGTCTAGGGGTCAGGGCAACCAAGGAACACCTGCATGGGTAAGACTTGGTTTAGATTACGAGGTATGGAGGGACCGAGTTGCCAGGGGCACATGCATGAACTGTGGCAACTATGACCACACGTCAAGAACTTGTCGAGGCAAGAAGGTCACCACAAGGGTAGTCGCTCCAACGGTAGTGGGCTTATCCTCGAACCCTGGCAGTGCTTCTGTGAGCACTTCGCAGGGAAACACCTCGGGCCAGAAGGAGTGTTAGCCGCTCTTACTCGCGCTGAAGTGGTAACCTTGCCTTCCCCACTTCAGGCGTTGGCCAAGGCTAGTGACCCAAACATCGCCCCACAAACACATTCAGACCCACCGACGCTCTGTTTGAGAGATGTGTCTGAGTCCTTAGAAGAGTTACAGTCTGAGTGGTCAGGGAAGGA